AATTCACTATTTGTAGTGGTAAGCCGAATATTACAATCCAGTTAAAATGATAAAATTTAACATAACGCACACTGAAAAAAATAAGCTGTTGAAACAACAAAAAAAATATTAATTCAACTCTTTATGCACTTTAAATACAAGCAATGGTTTTTGCACGTTTACTTAACCATCTAAAAATGTTAAATTGTATTGTTTAATTGAACAACAAATAACAGTCAAATGAACAAAATAAGAATATTTGTTCTAATCTGCTAATTTGTTTAATTTAACATTCTTAGGGTGTTAAGGTAAATTTCTTGAAATGTCCAGGTAACCTTTTTAGCATATTCACTTAACACCAATAAAATGTTAAATTAATATTCTGAAAATGTAAAATTCTTTAAAGGTTGGTATCCAAAACAAAATTATGGAAATAATATATTATTATATATAAATAGAAAGAATTGAACCTTTACCTCGCCCAGAGTTTTTGTTTTGAGCGTGTTCCACCCATGATACATCTTTGTATCATGTGTTCCACCTACTTCAAATACCGACAGACCGTTTCGCCCTATATTGAGGGTTCTAACAGTGTCGGGCAATATGGTGTAGTGAAAGTTCTACTGTGGAACACACCTTAAACAAACAGATATCTCATCTTATATACACCTAATCGTAAGCTAACTAAGGCGAGATGTAAGAAAACGTCATTGTCTAATGACGTGGCGTGAGTGTTCGAAGCGCCATTCTCGGCAATTTTATGAATGCAAATTTTACATTTTAAATTTTAAAGTAACATTTTAAATTTGTTAAATGAACAAATTTAAAGTTTTGGATTAAAGAGCAACCAAACGTTAATTTAATAGTTTTTTTAGGTAATCCTAAAAATTTCAGTAGTTGATTCAACAAATTCCAGCTATTAAATCAAAGTACGATAAACATTTTAATTCAAAATATTAGTTTATGTTAAATTAATATTTAAACTGTCAAATGAACAAATAAACTTTGACAAACTCTGACTTTTGCTTTAACACCAAAATATAGATTAATCCAATAGGTTTTTTGTTGAAACAACATTTTTAAAAATGACATTTAGGCAAATGTTAACTCAACTACATTATTTTTTTCGGTGCAGAGTTGTACAATTTTTAACTATTTTGTTATAATCCGTGCCACTTACAGTAGTCGTTAATTGAAATTACAGTATACCATTTCGTAGAGGTATGCATCTCCCATTTAATGTTAATCCTAGTAACATTGTTCTTGTTGTAGTTAGTCAAAGTCACTTTACTACTACAAAAGTAAAATAAAAGTGATAATTTTTAAGTGTTTATTTGACGGTAAAATACCTGTCAGTGGTTTTAACCTCACTTTTTGCCAATCTGTCATCTATCACGGTTTTAACCTCACTTTTTTCAATTTAAACTTAAAGCTAATTTCAGCACAACTGGTTAAATTAACCTTAAATTTACGCTATGCCTAGTTTATTCATTTAAGCAATATTGTACTACAACGTTAAATTAACGTTATTTTGTAGTACGGAATACAATTAAAGATTAATTAACGTTGTTAGTTAAATTGAACTTCTTGGTTAAAAGAAGGTAATATTTTGTAGTTTTTGTTTTTTTTAATAAGAAATAAAGGACATACAAAAATTGTTTTGCCTATTTTTTTTGTAAAATTTTTTTAAACTTGATTTAATATACTAATCATAAAATAATATTATGTTTTATAATTGGTTTGTTTAAATTAATGTAATATTGGAATAAAACAAATTATTAAAATTCCTTTTTGTTAGAATGGACAGTAAACAATATGGCGATCATGCGAAGCTTCCCAACTTTTACGTATTAATTATATAACCAATATAAATTAACCTGAAAGTTTAATAATAATAATAATAATAAACTTTATTGGAAATCCAAATGGCTAACGACTTTCGTCTTCCTGCCCCCTGAAAGTTTATTTAAACCATTTGGTTATTTTATTGTGTTTAATTTAACTACTTTATTTACACATCGGTAATTTATAAGTCTTTGGTTTTGGTTTAAAATTTAAATTTAAATTCGGTTAATGTAACACATTATAGTCAATAATTACCAAAATTAGTTAAATTAAATTAACTTGTTTTTTTTTAATTAAACTAACTTTTTTTTTATAACACAAAACAAACAAAACATATAAACCTATATGAAGCTTTATTGAGATTATTTTTCTATGCAGGTAAGAATGAAAACTGAAAAACCATTACTTTTTTAACCAGTTTATTAATTAACTTTGATTTAAGAGCGAGTTAATAGTTATTTATGTCATTAGGTTAAGAAGTAAGGCTTTTTGTGCTAAGCTCAAGGTTTGAAGGCCGACGCGTAGCGGAGGCCTACAATTGAGCGAAGCACAAAAAGGCACTTCTTGGCCGAATGGCATACAACATTTTATCTTCAAAACACTTTATATAGGTCAATTTAATTCAACATCAAAGCTCCCTAACCTCACTTTTTTAGAATCTCATTTATTTATTAGCTAAAGATTACATTAAATGTACAATAATTATTATTGCTTTTAGAAGCAGTAATAGATTGACAATACCTAGCAACATGATTTAAGTAGAAATGGATTTTTGCTATTACATTGAATTCAATTAATTGTTTAATAAATATGTAGGTATCTAATTTCAATTTGTTTGGATTTTTATTTAAAAAATAGGCAGTTTGGAATGTTTAAGCTATGTTTAACATTTAATTTCACTGAAAACTTAAAGCAAATTAAAACTTAAAGATAATTTAAATCGTAGAAAAAGAATCGTGCGTTTTCTTGGTTGCTTAACCTTACTTTTTGTTTTATTATTCATATTTAATTTTAAAATAATTTAATGAAAACTATTAAACATTAACAGTAAAACAAACAAATTAGTGCTTATTATAAATTAATTAAACCAGTTTAGTACGTTAATTTCTTAGAAAAGGATTAATTTGTCAAAACATACCCCTAGCGAGAAAAAATTGAACTAATTACTTGCCTCATAAAAATCTTTATCGGCATAGGCCATAACAAGGTATTTCTTTATCGAATGTTGACAACAATAAAGTTTAAATTATAGACCGCGTGGAGATAAAATATATTTGGTAAAATATAACTTGTTGGTTAAAAAATATAAACAAAATAACCAAAGCTTTGGTTAATTTACCAAAAATTTATTTTAAAAGTGAAACTAAACCTTAAGTCTTAAGCATTTTCAAAGGTTAAAATTAGAAGTTAATATAACCTACTTTTCAACTTATAAGACATAGTCACTAACTAGTTAAATATTAAATATTTGGTTAATTTAAAGTCAATTTAAAGGGTTATTTAAAAAAAAAATTTAATGGTTGAATAGAACTAATTGGTTAAAAAACATGTTTAAAAACCGTTATTTTACTTAGATTTTGGTTAATTTACTTAGAATGCTACTTATTTAACCACTTGTGCTACTTGGGATGCTATTAAATTACTTATAAAACCACTTTAATTCAAGTAATATTAACATAATAAAGGGGTCAACACATCGTCATGTCATGTTATTTTAATTAAAGACATACAAAATTGGATGATGGCTTTCGCCCCCTTTATAAAAAATAGTAGGCATTGTATAAAAATCAATATGGATTTTGTAAGCGGTGCCGTCGAATACCTCAATTTATGTTATTCACGTATAACCCTCTTCAGGCTACACGGCGTAGCTTGCATTTTATAAGCGGAATGCGATGGCTGCTTACCACAGACAGCTGATAACGTCTCGAGAAATATGAGATCGTGATAGTGCATGCACTTACTATAAAAAAGATTCGACGATAACTATTGATATGTATATCCAACGGTCTCTTCCTCCTTAATTTATACGTGACCTCTTTCGAAATAAATATTTATTTTGTGTATTGTTAATAAGAATAGATTCTATATAATATTATTATATTTAGAATTGTAACTTTTCAGTAAATAAAAATTATAAAAAACAATATTTATTTTCAACCCTGAGAAATCGCGTGGAATTGTTTCCGAACGGGTTCAAAAATAATCCTGTCTAGTGGTTGCAAATAATCAACGTTCATGGGAAACGTAACCACAATTATACCCTTGGTTTTTATAAAGTCGAGAGTCTTGAACGAGAGGTAGTACTCGTGGTTTTCGATTAACAGGAGTATCTTATTGTTCGGCGAACTCTGCGTGTGATCGGATAATTGGTTGAGAAAATTGTAGAAATGATCCGCTTCCATCCAACCCAAGGCGTTTGTTTCCACTCGACAATTTTCCGGGCCGCTGCTAATTAAAAGCTCTTTGATACTCTCGTCGGGGGCTAAAAAGTAGGGAGGTGTAAAATCTCCCGAGGCTGACACGGCCATTGTTAAATGCTTTCTATATTCCTAAGTGGTTAATTTACCCACCACCTGATCAATATATACGTTATAAATCTGTAAAGTTGGTATACCCGTTTCGTCCATATTCCATATTCAATTCGGTTCCAGCTTATGATTTCAAATATTTTTCTTTAGTTTGTTTAAGTATCGGTGGATTTTTCTTTGTTCAAAGAATCGCTTTCTAAAGTGGTTTTTAAATTCGGATGTCTTTTTGTGAAGGCGCCTCACCAATCAGGTTCTGCTGTACCCGATATATTCCAAGATTCGAGATAATTTACACCGATGTGATTAGCGAACTCGTAGGCAAGTCGACTAATGTCTTTTCCTGTAACTCCATTAAAAAATCCCAGAAGCCAACTCTGAACAATACAGAAGTTGTTTTTCAGAAAACCCCTGTAAATTAAATCATAAACATATGGCAAACTCGATTTTTTTGTATCCCAATATTTAAATTGACTTTCTCATTTTCAGGCGGTCATTGGTAAATTTTAAGCCGAAGTAAAATTTTTAGATTCTTCCAATTTAAAATAAAACGCAAAGAAGGTATTTTAAAAATATTTATTGTATGCCTTAATAGCTTTATTTCATTAATAACAAAAATAGATTATATTAAATAGAAAATTTAAACTCCTCCGTAAATAAAAAGTAATTTTATTAAATAAATTGCTTCATCAAGTTAATAACCATGAAAAATGAGATCTTTGGATAAATTAATAAAAACTTTAATAAAGCAATTTAGTTGTTACAAACACAATAAAAAAACTTAAAAAACAACTATTCTGCAAAGTGTATTTTGAACGGATGTATTCCACAATCCTTGAACCCTGTGATGATGTTTTTGGCGAGCAAAGTGGCCTCTAAAGCCTGTTTGACAATAATAGGCAAATCGCTCTCCTCAATTTGTCTATTTTCTCTTGTTTCTGCAATCGAATAGCAAATCGCGTCGAATTGTTTCCGAACGGGTCCAAAAACGATCCTGTCCAGTGGTTGCAAGTAATCAACGTTCATGGGAAACGTAACCACAATGATACCCTTCGTTTTTATAAAGTCGAGAGTCTTGAACGAGAGGTAGTACTCGTGGTTTTCGATTAACAGGAGTATCTTATCGTCCGGCGAACTCTGCGTGTGATCGGATAATTGGTTGAGAAAATTGTAGAAATGATCCGCTTCCATCCAACCCAAGGCGTTCGTTTCCACTCGACAATTTTCCGGGCCGCTGCTAATCAAAAGCTCTTTGATACTCTCGTCGGGCGCCAAAAAGTAGGGAGGTGTAAAATCTCCCGAGGCTGACACGGCCAAGGCCATTGTTATGAGCCTTCCATATTCCTGTGCGTTTGATTTACCCACCTCCTGATCAATGCATCCGTTATAAATTTGTAAGGTTGGTATCCCCGTTTCGTCCATATTCCATATTCGATTCGGTTCCAGCTTATGATTTCTGATGATTTCCTTTAGTTTGTTGAAGTAATAGGCGGATTTTTCTTTGTTCAAAGAATCGGTTTCCAAGGTGGTTTTTAAAGTCGGATGTCTTTTAGTGAAGGCGCCCCACCAATCTGGTCCTGCTGTACCCGATATATTCCAGGATTCTGGATAATTTAAACCGATGTGATTAGCGAACTCGTAGGCAAGTCGACGGACGTCTTTCCCTGTAACTCCATTAAAAATCCCAGAAGCCAACTCCAAGTAATACAGAAGTTGTTCCTCGAGTTCTTCAGAAAACACCTGCAAATCGAATTAAACATTCAGGTAACTCGATTTGCTGCTAACGATTGCCAGTCTTACCTGCCTTTTCCTGTATCCCAGTTTCAAATTGACTTCCTCGTTGTTCAGCTGGTCGCTAGTGAATTTTAAGCAGTAACGAGCCAAAGTTCGATGCGAAACCTGATACTTTTTAGCTACACTCCGAATCGATCTTTTATTTAGCTTGACTTCTTTCACAGCCCGAAGCATCACGTCGGGGGAAGTTTGCCCCTTGTCGGTTTTTCTCTTGTAATTTCGCATGATGTCCTAAAAAAGATTTCAGTTTTTATCAAAAGGAATCATAGAAGTATGTGTATGACATTCGAGCAGATAATTTAATACAAAACGCGTATCTTTTTAAACGAGACAAAAAATGTTTTCAAATCGCAACATTTGATGTTGAATGGAAGGTATAATAGATACAGACCCGTATTTTTGCAAGGAATTTTTAATGTAAAATTTTAGGAATCTCATTGCGGTTTAGGATACAGGTAAAGCTTTGAGAGGTATAACTTAACCTGAATATGACAATACCTGTAATAGCAGCGCGTGTTGTCGTAATTTGGTTTTAAATCTAAAATGCCTTTTAATGTATTGCCTTCGAGAAAAACTGCTCTTGAGAAGCTAGCACACAGGAGTATAATAAAGCAGATTCAAATATTAGCTGTAAAAAGTACTTACAGCACAAGAAAATAGTCTTTAACTGCAAAAATGACTAATTTTCATAGCGAAAAGCAGCCTCTAATAATTCTTCCCGAACATTTAGCAGTTAATTTCCATTTAAAATTGTCGTCTGAATCCAAAAATGTCGTCAAAAGTAAGAAAAGTAGAACAGTTTTTGAGATATAGTAAATTTTCCAAATAATATGGAATTGACTATACCACAAAGACTGCTCTACTTTCATAATTGTTGACGGTATTTTCGGATGCAGGGGACAATTTTACATAAGATTTGGTTAAAACCAATATACTGCCATAAAGCTAAATAGGCCTTAACGGTCTCTTAAGTAAATATGGTTTTATAAGGGGATAAATGATATCCCATAATAAAGCAAAGTTAAAACGTAAAAGGCGTTTTGGTTTTAAAAGTAGGGTTTCTTGTGACTAATAAAGCTTTTTATTAAAGTAATATGGTTCTAAGAATATTCAGGTTGAACCCAACAGTTTGACCTACACTTTTATTGTGTTTTGATCTTTCATAATTAAGTAGAAATTAAAGCTCAGGTTCCCGATTTTTAACCGCAATTAATTATTTTTTACAATGTTTTAAAAGTCTAAAACCTATCCTCCGTGACTGTTACTCTTTCTAGGTTAACCTATATGTTTTCAAATATCTGAGGTAGTAAAAGCATACTAAAAATAAGTAAATTAAACACATTCAAAGCAATCGAATCAAATATAAAATATTATTAAAAATTAAAAGAAATAATTTTTATAACCATTTATCTAGATGTTACAAAAATTGATTATATCCTCCGTGAATCTTCGTTTTTGCTTTAAATTTTATGCAACGGATGGCGCTTTAATCATTTTAAATAAGCAAAAACCTCTGTTTACGACATTATAGATGCTTGTGATTCCTGAAGGTCAGTTAGAATTTATATGCAGACGAGAGTGTTGCTGTTTTATAATTCAAAGGTTCATTAATTTGCCATTTAAAAACATATCCACCGTGAAGTGTAATATCTCAGTAAGTAGATTTTTTTATAAATATTTTATGTATGTAAAATTGTATTTTTAAAAATATTAAGGTGTCAAAAGATACAATAACTTATTTCAAATATACAAAGGGACGAAAAAACATACGAAATCCTAACCTCCGTGAAGCTATCTTCCGTGAATCTCTAATATTCAAAATGTATGATTTCTTAAAATTCTTGCATTAGTGCAGAACCACTTATGTTATATTATTATTAAACCTGGTGGCTTCCCAAAAACCCCATTCTAGACTAACAGTGAAACAACCAAAAATAAAAAAATAATCATTTTCACTTGGACATCTCAATATATTCACCCATGCATAAGATTGGGTTTAAGTTCCTTTTTTAATCATAGTATGATTCTGATGAAAAAGAATATTATTATTCCTAATAAGCACTATTCATAAAATGCAGCTTTTTTAAATAATCGATAATTATATAACACCAACAGAATTTTTTTTCTATTTGGCGCCAAGTTCCAAGTATGTTTTTTAGGTTATTCATAATGTCTTCAAAACAAGAACCAAGCAAATAAAATGGATGTCAGCATTGGAAAATACATTTTTTTTCTGTTATCATTAAATAAATGTAAATTAGTTATTTTAATATCATGTTATTTAACTTTGAAGTAATTTAAAAAATAGTTTCCTGGCGTTTCAGTTCGCTCAACAGGTGGCTTTAGAGGAACTTGAACTTGTAGATACTCTCAAGGTTATAAAACGATCCTTTATAAATAAAATATTTATGAATACCATTGTGATAAAAATTTATTGCACATAAACCATAAAATAATTTAATCCCCCTCTGGAGTACCGAGTACCACCCTGAACTCTCTGCGACCCTTTTTATACCTACTTTTTCTCCCCTTCTCGTATTTAACGCCAGAAGTACCGTCATTTCTCCTTACACCGTACATTAAACATAAAAACAAAGTTGTCTATGCAAAAAACCTAACCACAAACATAGCCTAATCAAACTTACCGATAAAACAAAATAATGCACCTAAAAACTAACAGTAAGGCTGCTCTGTTGTGGAGACACACGATCGATAGTTGTGCCTATAAGCCCCGTTCTCTTACACTGGCTAAATATAGAATTAGGGATCGGGGTTTCGAATTTTGCGCCGGCGTACTTTACGGGGCCAAATGCCACAACTGCAAAGAGGGCTGGGGAATTCAACGCTTACTTTGAAAACATGTAGGTTTAATAACACGGCAAACTTTGTGTGTATGTGTATGAAAGGTAAAATTATTATATAACAGAAATGAGACGCATTGTTTTGATATGTACCTTTAAATAAGGTCCTTTGGTCTATAGTTATTATGTATTACTTAATTAGGAAAATGCTTATAATTAATGAAGTGGTTTAGTTTAATTAAATTTGAAAAAATTTTGTTGGATTTTTCTTCTGTATACGATAATTTTTGAATAAAATACTTGGTTTTATGTTTTAAATTTATTTATTTTTTAAATTTTAATTAAAGTAGGTGCCTTCGACTTTAATGCATTTATTAATTCGCATTTCGTTTTAATATTCTGCTCACTGCTCTGAGATATTCCCAAATCTCTATATAATTCTCGTGTTCTTGCATGAGGATTAGCTGCCGTTGCTGCTAATACTTTAATTTCATTATTTCCACCTGTGACTGTTGCTCGACTCTTTTTTCCGGTTGAACACTCCCGTTTGTAGTAAACTGCTTGACTGTACGGTGAAATGAAGTACGTGATCCAATTTTATCCGGAAAACGCTGAGCGTAGATATTAACAGCATCATCAAGATTCCTGCCTGCTTCCCCATAAATCAAAATCATTTCTATTTTGTCTTCCATTATGAATAACTGCTTAACGAAAGGAGATATTTTTGTTTGCAAATTAATCTTCGAACTAAATTGATTAAATAATGCTAAACTATAAATAGTTTCTTTATACCCCAATTAGAATTAAATTAATTAATTGACAAAATATTTTTTTTACCTTAAACGAGGTATTTTTATTATAATAAAAATAATCCTTTAAATTAAAGGATGCTGGCAGGTAAAAAGTGACCATGGTGCGCAATTGATAATTATCACCGAATGAAATAATGTATAAAACTTAAACCAAAGGAAACTTAAATATTAGTTAAAAAATCGTGGGTACTTAAAAAATTCGCTACGCGGTCTCGTGATTTTATTAAATTATTTTGCATTCATCATTTTCCAACAAAAACCAAACAAAAAACTACTGAGCCTAGTTTAACCGATTAAATTCATAGTTCTCGTGATATAATATAATATGATAATTATTACCAAAAAAGTCATATTTTTATAGAAAAATTATTGCAAAATATTTGTTGTTGTCGTCAGTGGGAAATGTTTTGATTGACTGCCTGAAATCACGTGTACTTTTTCAACGAAATAATTTGTTAAACATTAACAAAGTAATCTGTAACCTTTGAAATTAAAAAAATGCTTACTAAAATAGTAATTGGTCATACCTGCAATACCTTTGTTAAAATAATTAGCCTGGTTTTCTACAAAAAATTATGTTAAAACTGCAGTACTACATGTACAAAATAAAATTATAAATTACAAACTCATGTTAACAAATCTGATTCTAATAACAGTGTAGATACAAATTTGATCCAAATCTTTGCTCATAAGATAAAACATTAATTCTTAATGTACATTAGGCCATTTTGGGACACCCTCAATTTTAGGACATCAATATTGGCGGAATTAAAAATTAAATACCTTTTGCCATTTTTGTTGTTCTTTCTAACTAACTAACTAAAAGTACCTACGCAAAGAAAACGTCATAACTATAAAATACGAATTTACTAGTCAAGAGGCAGGGAGTTTTGGGCATGCAAAGTACAAAAATGTTGCAGGTATTACCTTCTGAAGGTCTTTATATTATTGCAAATTTTAATGATTTTGACAAGGTCCTTAAGTATGAGGTATGCAAATGTCTGTAACACCTTGTATTTACAAATAATATACTATCTAATGATGATCATTAAAGTTTAATTTTTCATTATTACCATCTATTGTATTCAAAAATTAAAAATGAAAGTAATAATTCACTTTGAAGATGTTATCTAATTACCTGAGCCTTCATTGTATGTAACGTAATTATCAGTTACAAAAGTTCAGAGATTGGAAACCTGTAAAATATATATATTCATTTTTTTATTTAAACTTGCTATAAATCAAAAGCGTCGAGTCGCCCCTGGAAACCACGAGCATACATCTGTTCTATCTAAGAGATAAATCAAAGTAGCATTGTTATGTGCTATTGTTCCTGTTTAGATTCTTTGAACTTATCATTTTGCTTCTTTTATTCGGAATTTTTTCGACTTCGGTATTGTAGCCACGTATAACAGCGAGGTTTCCAACCGGAATACAATCTTTATCGGTTTCAGCGTTTGCGAAACCTAACAACACAATGGCGTCCATCTTGCATCAGCACCGTGTAATGATCGAACACAATCGTACCTTTTCAGGCATCTCTAACAATACGACGAATTAAAGTTGCCTATTTTATTTGCCTGTCTTCATTGTATGTGTTAATTTTAAGGATATCATTGAGTTTTGTGTTTTTTCTTATGGACATCAAAAACCAACCCAGGTAGCACAACTGGTTAAATACCTTGCATTCTAAGTAAAATAGGGTATTTTAAAACTAGTTATTAACCAATTAGTTGTGCTCAACCATTAATATTTTTTAAAGGTTACTATGAACTAAAAAATAACCCTTTCAATTTAGCAACCAGTTCCTATAACCTTCAGGTAAATTCAAGGGTTATTCTTAGTATAATTTAAGTAATAAAATAAACCTATTGGTAATATTACTAACTAGTTAAATATTTGGATTATTTATGGTCAATTTAAACTCTTATAGGTAAATTTACGTTAATTAATAAATTTGTTGATGTGATGATTTTGCAGTTTTCATTGTTACCTGCATAGAAAAATAAGTCTCAATACAGCTTTATATATAAACCTTTAGGTTTTGTGTGATACCGAAGCCTAAAAGAAATAATTTATAAAAATAAAGACTTTCTTAATTACTATTATATTATATTATCTACAATAGAAGAGTTAACAAAGTTGTAAATCAATATTTATCTACAAATCTTAAAACAGTCCCCTCACATTTAATTAATAGGTTTTATCACAGATGCATTTTATAAATAAATACAGGTTGTTATGTAATTAATGTTATATATTAAAATGGGTTGTTCCTTAGGGTCCATAAAGAAGCACCTGAAACTTTTTTTTTCTAAATTCCAAAGACTAAAAATAATTTATAATAACCTTAATCCTACCAAAAAGTACGCCACTGATCGACTAGGAACTTTAGACTTATCTGGTTGCCTAATTTAATTTATTATGTTATGGTTGGTAACAACCAAAAATGACAAAATTAACAATGCAAATTGTCAATTTGGCGTTTTTATTAATTGTTGTCATTTTTGTACTGAAGGTAAATTCAAACAAAATCTGCCAACTTTTATGACAGAATCTAATGCATTTCTTTCAAATTTTAGGTTATGTGCTCAAAATGTAAATATCTTAACTAAGGGAAGTGCTTTTGGATTTATTTACACAAATTAAATGTTTAAAGTTTAATCTGTGAACTGGTCCCAACTTCATCTGAGTAAACAGAAAGAAAAATACCGATAAAAAAATTAATTTTGTGGTTATGGATTTTTTTAAAATAGGTACTAAATTTTTTAATCGTTGCTTAAGCTATTAGCTGGATGAGTAAATAAATACAGAAGGGTATTAGAGCTTTAAGGGCATAAAACTTTTGTATTTATTTTTTAGTTTTTATTTATTTTTGCAAGGAAAATTTTTAGTAACAATTTTTTAAATTTGGCAACGCGCAGCTACTTTGTTGGTTGCTATCTATGTACTCACAGAACACAAGTGTGCAGAGATAAACCAAGTGTGTAACCAGTGGCGTATCACAAAAATATAAAAAACTTCTAATGCATATTTTTTCTTTATCTTTGGTAAAAAAATATGTTTTCTTTACTCCTTATGTCAAAAGGTATTCAGTATTTTAATATATAACATTAATTACATAACACCCTGTATAAAGCAGGGCGCAACTAAAATCAGAAGATAATATCGGCGAAATTTTTTTAGGCTATAACTAGAAATGGGATTTTAGTGTTATTACCTATTTGTTAACTTTAGTTGAAATGGAATAAAATCCGTTTTTAAGAAAATGATTTCATTTGAGCCTGATTTTATTTGACCTATTTTACCTAAATTGTCATTTTCAAAAGAAATTGACCTAATTTTTACATTTTACTACCTAAAACTTTTTCAAATTAATCTCATCATGTTTTATTTAAAAATCTCATGTATTTTTACAAATTCCAGAAAATTTGTGCTTTTTTAAGAACAATTATTTTTAAAAACATTTCTATCAAATGAATGTAAATTTGTATGCAAAAACAATTTGAATGTTAAAATTATAAAATTATGATAGTATAATAATATTTTTACAAAAATATAGGGTAAGACTTAGTTATTTTCATATTTTTAAATCATAAAAATTTTGTTTAATAGAATTTTATACAATAGTAAATTAAATTTGTTTACCACCTAAAAGTTGCTTTCCACTACTAGTACGTACCTAATTTAAGAATTTTCTCACCTAAAACAAGAAAAAACTTGACCTATTTAGGTACCTATATTTATAAATTTGGCAACCTAAAATCCCATCTCTTGTTATAAAAATTACAAGTTAGATAAATTTAACTAATTTTGGTAATTATGAACTATAATGTGTTACATTAACCGAATTTTACCCAAAATCAAAGTGTTATAAATTATCGATAGGTAAATAAAAACAAAAGGAAATGCCATTAATTTTAATATTTGATTTTATTCCAAAAATAATGTTATTTAAACAAACCAATAATAAAATATTATTTTAAGTTTAAAAGTACTTTAAATCAATTTCAAATGAAATAAAGAAAAATAGGCAACACATTTTTTCTTTATTTCTTATTTTTTTTTCAAAGCGCATTTAAAATATAAAAGTATTATGTACTACTTC